GACTTTCCATGTCTCTGTCTGCCTATAAGCCTCTCTCCTGAGCTCTCCCCACCCACCTCCCAAAGCCCATACTACCTGTTTTCTGAGCCTTTCTTAGACTCCCCCAGAAACTGCCCTCCATAGGGGAGGAGGGTCTCTGCTCCTTAGGGCCCTGATCTGTATCTTCTTGGTTCTGCTAGTCTCCTAATTCTCTCCCTCTCTGACATTTCTATTGGGGAGGCTTAGGTTGGCTTATTTCATCGACAAGTTCAAAGGTGCTCTGGCTCTGACCTCCACCCCACCCCCCACCCCCAGCCTCTGCCCAGGGTAACAAGGGGATGTGCGGAGGACTAGCACTTTGGCAAGGTAGTTTCTTCTTCTTGTCCAGTACTGGTAGTGTGTTGCGTGCCTGTGGACTGTGGGCTGGCCTCCCTTTGCCCAAGGGTCCCTAATGAACCCGTAACCCCCAGGTCACTGGGGACAGAGTAGCCTCCACCCTGAGCTGGTACCTGAAATGGGGGGAGGGGTTTGACAATCTGAGTTCTGAGCACTAAGCCTTCTCCCCTGCTGCCCTTAGGAGCCAGTGAGGGACATAACAGAGATCTACAGAGCTGCTGTGGGAGATGTAGCTCTCTTGTCTCCTGCTCACAACAGCAGGAATGGTCTATGGGGCAGCTTAGAGAGATCTGGCAGTAAGAGACCCATGGAGGCCCAATAGGCCTAAAGAAGGGAGCAGTCAGATGGACTTCATGGAGGAGGAGATGTGTTCTGTGCACACAGTTGTTGACAGCCTTAGTGGATATAGAAAAGCCCCTGGCAGAAGCCTGGCCCACAGTAGGTCCTTAAAAAGGCAGCACCTATTGAAGGGAGAAGGCGGAACATGTGGAATGAGGCCATGGGGCAGAATTGAAGGGAAGCAGGCTCTGCTGTAGCTGCTGTCCAGCAGGGTGAGGAGCTGGCTACCTTTCCAGTTCCACATGCAGGCAGGGTGGTCATTCGCTTACTGGAGCCCCTCTGTGTTGGATGATACTGATGCACAGAGGGGATGTGGCCCCATGAGAGGCATATATCCATTCTGGCAGGAAGGGTTTGTGCTGAGACTGGAGCAGAAGTGAGTGAGAGAGAGATCTGGGGTGTGCTGGAGGGTCTGCCTGCAGTGTCATGGCAGAGGAAGAAAGGCAGCAGCAGGGTGGAAGAAGCAGGAGGCATAGGATGAATGCCTGGCTGCTGAGAAGGCATGAAGAGGAAGTGAGCAGCTGGAAAGTTCTCCTTGTGGAAGGGGACAATTGGGAAAGTGACAGTTGATCCCAGATCTCTGGCCTGGCCTCACCTGGCTGTGCTAGTGAGAGTCCCAGGCCTGGGATTGGCCTGGGTCCTTCCAAGGCCTGTATGGGGAAGGCCTTTACTCTAGCCTGGGCCCTTGGTCCTCTGAGCTCACCCCAGAGTGCTAAATATTGGCAGACACAGCCATGTTGAGTGGTCAGAAATATGGAGGCTGGGGGAATCCCAAAGCAATCAGAAGCATGAGGGGAGGTCCATGGGAGGCAGGAAAAGTGGAAAGATGTATGATCTGTGTTTTTGGTAGAAAGTAGAAGTTTGGCTGGACAGGAAGAGTGTTGCAGGTGGAACGAATGGTATGTGTGAGGGCTCTGGAGTGTGCTTTTATAGGGTGCAGCTCAGTTTGTCAAAGAGGGCTAGAATATGAATGGGGGGGGGTAAGACCAAGACCCTCTCTGTAACCTACCTGCCCTAAAGGTGAGCCTAATCTCTCTGACCAGAGATGGCAGGTAGATAAAAAGATTGAAGGGGAGCCAGGTGCGGGTGTAGGAGAGGGCTATAGGTAGTTTACTGGTTCAGCTTGCAGGGCTGAGTCTCCTTTGACCTCAGCCAGGGTGAGAAAGCTGTGCTGATGATTTGTGGAAATGGCTCCCCCTTACTGCATGATCAGTAAGCTTGAAGGCCAGTGAAGGGAAACTGAGGCTCAGGGGTGAAGTGATCAGTTTTAGATCTCACACTCAAGCCTAGATCTAAGACTCAAACCCTTTCTCCTGCCTGAAGTCATCACACTCTGTCTAGGACAGACCCTGTTTGTACTTGGTACTAACTAAATAGTCATTAATGGTGCCCCTTACAATCCAGAAATATTTCTGGTTTATGCAGTGAATGAAAGGATCACTCTGCTCTTGGCTTGTTCTTCAGTTCCCATGTATAAGGGTTTCTTTGTATTTTCTCTAATCTATAAATCAAGTTCTTTTATTATTATTATTATTAATTAGCAGTAACTTAGGAATTGACCTCAGGACCTTGATAGGCAGGCACTCTACCACTTGAGTTTGTGTTGATTATTTAAAAAAAATTAAATTGTTATTATAAAGGTGGTGTACAGAGAGGTTATTGGGACAATGACACCTCTTCCCTCACTCCTAGTTTTTCCCTCCCACCCCATCCACAAAATTGTATAGTTCATTTTCAACATGTGTTGATTTTTTAAAAAGTTTTATTGTAAAAGTATTGTACAGAGGGATTATAGTTACCTAAGTAAGGCAATGAGTACATTTCTTGTCAAACATTGTTACCTCCTCTTTTGTTTTTCTCTCACTTCCCTCCCCTCTCCTTCCCATGGTGATTTTTTTTTTTTTTGTCGGTTGTGGGGCCAGAACTCTGGGCCTGAGCACTGTCCCTCGGCTCTTCAGCTCAAGGCTAGCACTCTACCACTTGAGCCACAGCACCACTTCCGGCTTTTTTTTCTGCTTATGTGGTGCTGAGCAATCGAACCCAGGGCCTCATGCATGCAAGGCAAGTGCTCTACCACTGAGCCACCTTCCCAGCTCCTATACAGAACATTTTGTTCATTATTTCCTGAAGAAAGCCTTCTGAGGATTTGTGTCCTTCTTTCAAGCAGGGAAAACAAAAAACTAAGGCTCAGAAGAGGGAGGGGAGCACTGCCTGGACCCATGCCAATCTTGTGGGAAAGGTCTGGGAAGGTCTCCCCACTCAGCAAGGAATAGTAAGCTAGGAGGCCTGGAACGCCCAGCCAGATGTGTGTTGGCATGAGACTTGATTGATGGGAAGTGGTGCTGTGGCTCAAGTGGTAGAGCGCTCACCTTGAGCTGAAGAGTACAGGGATAACGCCATGCCCAGAGTTCAAGCCCCATGACCGACAAAAAAAAAAAGAAAAAAGAAAAAAATGAGATTTGATTAATGGAAGCACAAAAAGGGGTTTGTGCCTTTTCTGGATCTGTACCACTGGGGATAGGTACTAAGGTTCCTCAGGAGCTTGGTTAGCCTAGATTGAAGTTTTCTGGTGCTATTCTGCCCTCTAGTGACCATTCTCCTACATAAATGAATAATTTCTTTAAATAATTTCAACCTCATCCAGACAAGGGTTTTCTCAAGTATTTTCAGTCTGCAGTTTATTGAATCTATGGATGTGAACCCTGGGATCCTGAGGGCCAACTGTGTTCTCTGCAACTTGAGACCATTCTTTGGGACGGAGTGGGTAGAGGAGAAGTTGAGAGGCCTGGGTTCCCGTATCCTGAGGTTGTAGTATTTGGACTCGTAGACATTTCTAATCCTCATTAAAGTTAAAGTGAGATGTGACTCAAGTGTTAGAGTGAAAATCAAGTGAAAGCATGAGGCTCTGAGTCAAAAACAATCACAGTGAGAGTTGGCATGGCTCAGTTGATAGAGCGCTAGCCAATGAGTAAAAGCAAAGTCCTAGTCCTAAACTTAAAAAAAAAAAGAAAAGAAAAAAATTAGATAGAGCCTCCCAAGTTCGATCCGGCTAAGATGAGCTCCCTCCCTGTCTGGTGGCTTTCTCCCCTTCTTCAACTTCCTGTGCTGCCCTGGACTTTTTTTGGGGTGGGGTAGGGGGTCAGTCGTAGGGCTTGAACTCTGGGCCTGGGCGCTGTCCCTCAGCTCTTCAGCTCAAGGCAAGCACTATACCACTTGAGCGACAGCACCACTTCTAGTTTTCTGGTGGTTTATTGAAGATAAGAGTCTCATGGACTTTCCTGCCTGCCTGGCTTTGAACTTCAATCCTCAGATCTCAGCCTCCTGAGTGGCTAGGATTACAAGCGTGAACCACTGGTACCCAGCTTTTCCCAGGCTTTTGGTGCATGGTGGAAGACTGCTTGTGCCTCCATTGCATGCCTCTGTATCCGTGTCTCTTCACATGACCTTCTGCCCTGCTTACATTGCAGTTCTCAGTCTTGTGGCCTTTCACGCAGATCAGGTGGTGACGGGGTGAGCCTTTCTGTCTGGCTCAATCACCAGGCTTCCTGTACAATCTGGGGATCGTCCTGTCTGCACCTGCGTATTCTGCATTTTGACTCAGTGGGAGGCATGCACCCCTGGGCTAGTTTGGGTGTGTGTGTACAAGGTATGGATGTGTTTGTATAAGCTAGTGGGATGTGGTAGCATGTTTGTGTACTTTTGCATACTTGTGCAGGTTCTGAGAGTAGCTATGTGTGATCCTCATAGGTACAAGTGTAGCAGAATCTGTGCTGATTGTGTGGTGACAGAAAGTGTGTGGGTTCATGGGGCTTATGTGCAGATACACGCATTTGTGTACATAGGCTGGCTGTGTACTGTCACGTGTGTACTGTTGGGTATGAGTGGCGTGTGCACATATGCTGCCAGGTGACCCCATTAGCACGTTGGCTCTGCTGTGGTCATTGTTGAATCCCCAGCCTCTGAGCAGCGCTGGCTGCTTGGCAGATCCTTAGGGTGAAACTGGGAGTGAAAAGCTGGGAGCTACCACGAGCTAGCTGCTACCTTGCAGGTGCTGAACTTGGTACCATAGTGTGTACACAGATGACTCAGCACCCAAAGAGGCCTAAGCATACACTGGCTGTAGGGTTCAATTGCCCTGAGTCCACCCAGGTCCCTTTTCCTTGATCCCTTTCCCCAACCCATATTACCCAGATATCTGGGAAGGGAGAAGCTGTCACAGGAGGCAGGCAGAAGCACAAGGCCAGGCCAGAATCCCTCACCTCAGACCAAGGTATAAGACAAACCAAAACACAAGCAAGGATGGAATTTCCTCCCTCTGAGAGTCAGGCCTCCATTCTGCCTGACCTGGAGTGACCTTCCTTTCTACCATTATTTAAACTTGAGGACTTCAGAGATGCCAAGAAGGCTTACCCACAGTCACTGAACCCCTCTGGGGGAAGCTGGTGTTCAGACCATGCCTTCTGGCCTTAGCTTTGTCTACTCAACTTTAAGTGTCATATACACAAACTCTCTTAACTCGCTTCCTTGAGTCATAGAGGCTCATATCCAATCCAGGTTCCCAGAGGCACTTCACATAGCACCCCCCTCCCCCCCCCCCAGTCTTGCTCTGGGCCTCAGTTTCTTCCTTTGATGTTTGGACACCTGAAGTATTGCCTGGAGTGGACTGCTGCCATCAGGAGTTGCACTGCCAGGCCTCACTCCTGTGCCCTGCAGCCCAGCCAATCCCTGGTCCTTCTGAAGGCTGATCACTTGTTGCTGGGGTAGAGCCTCTTTCCTTTAGGGTCTATTTCTCAGTCTCACAGGGTTTCCTCAAAAGGGTACAGAGGGGAGAGGCCACTGTCAGGGCTTCCTGGGCATCTACCCTGTAAGACCTCACGAGACCAGCAGCCGATGCTGGTTGTATCCCAGTTTAGCTTTGGGGAGTGGGAGGGGTACAGCCCAGGGGCGGGGAGGAAGTGCTGCCCCAGGGGATTCTGGGTGACTTTTCTTTTTCAGTGTTTTCAGGAAGTGTGTGTGTGTTGGCTAGAGTGCAGTGGGTGGAGAAGGCAGAGAGCAGGAAGCAGGGGAGACAAGAGCTGGACACACACACACACACACACACACACATTTAGAGTCACTATTAAAACTCAGAACACACACACACACAGAAATGACTTACAAACATTCTGAGAAAACAATCACAGGCAGGCAGAGACATACCTGGGCTCCAACACCTCCGAGGGAGCAAGGACCCAACTGTCTGTGAGATCAGCCCAGGCCAGGCCAACACAGGCTTGCACGGGCAGGCACAGAACGGTCTGTGCACACACTGAGCTCACCTGGCTGGAGCCTCAGGAGGCCTTGGGCCCAGGACCCGGCCAGCCTGTGAGGGTAAGCAAGGGGCAGCCCAGGTTGGGCTGCAGAGCAGGCGGGAGGGAGGCTGGGGGCCCAGACTGGGTCTGGCTATACCCTCTAGGTCTACCTTTCCAGGGTGTTCTGTTCCTCCTCCATTTTGCTCTTAGACTTTTCTGTCTTCTCTTACTTTCTGTACTTCAGTTTTCCCAGCCTTTTCTTTTTTCTCCTTTCCTCTCCTTTTTTCTCCCCCAGACTTTCCATGTCTCTGTCTGCCTATAAGCCTCTCTCCTGAGCTCTCCCCACCCACCTCCCAAAGCCCATACTACCTGTTTTCTGAGCCTTTCTTAGACTCCCCCAGAAACTGCCCTCCATAGGGGAGGAGGGTCTCTGCTCCTTAGGGCCCTGATCTGTATCTTCTTGGTTCTGCTAGTCTCCTAATTCTCTCCCTCTCTGACATTTCTATTGGGGAGGCTTAGGTTGGCTTATTTCATCGACAAGTTCAAAGGTGCTCTGGCTCTGACCTCCACCCCACCCCCCACCCCCAGCCTCTGCCCAGGGTAACAAGGGGATGTGCGGAGGACTAGCACTTTGGCAAGGTAGTTTCTTCTTCTTGTCCAGTACTGGTAGTGTGTTGCGTGCCTGTGGACTGTGGGCTGGCCTCCCTTTGCCCAAGGGTCCCTAATGAACCCGTAACCCCCAGGTCACTGGGGACAGAGTAGCCTCCACCCTGAGCTGGTACCTGAAATGGGGGGAGGGGTTTGACAATCTGAGTTCTGAGCACTAAGCCTTCTCCCCTGCTGCCCTTAGGAGCCAGTGAGGGACATAACAGAGATCTACAGAGCTGCTGTGGGAGATGTAGCTCTCTTGTCTCCTGCTCACAACAGCAGGAATGGTCTATGGGGCAGCTTAGAGAGATCTGGCAGTAAGAGACCCATGGAGGCCCAATAGGCCTAAAGAAGGGAGCAGTCAGATGGACTTCATGGAGGAGGAGATGTGTTCTGTGCACACAGTTGTTGACAGCCTTAGTGGATATAGAAAAGCCCCTGGCAGAAGCCTGGCCCACAGTAGGTCCTTAAAAAGGCAGCACCTATTGAAGGGAGAAGGCGGAACATGTGGAATGAGGCCATGGGGCAGAATTGAAGGGAAGCAGGCTCTGCTGTAGCTGCTGTCCAGCAGGGTGAGGAGCTGGCTACCTTTCCAGTTCCACATGCAGGCAGGGTGGTCATTCGCTTACTGGAGCCCCTCTGTGTTGGATGATACTGATGCACAGAGGGGATGTGGCCCCATGAGAGGCATATATCCATTCTGGCAGGAAGGGTTTGTGCTGAGACTGGAGCAGAAGTGAGTGAGAGAGAGATCTGGGGTGTGCTGGAGGGTCTGCCTGCAGTGTCATGGCAGAGGAAGAAAGGCAGCAGCAGGGTGGAAGAAGCAGGAGGCATAGGATGAATGCCTGGCTGCTGAGAAGGCATGAAGAGGAAGTGAGCAGCTGGAAAGTTCTCCTTGTGGAAGGGGACAATTGGGAAAGTGACAGTTGATCCCAGATCTCTGGCCTGGCCTCACCTGGCTGTGCTAGTGAGAGTCCCAGGCCTGGGATTGGCCTGGGTCCTTCCAAGGCCTGTATGGGGAAGGCCTTTACTCTAGCCTGGGCCCTTGGTCCTCTGAGCTCACCCCAGAGTGCTAAATATTGGCAGACACAGCCATGTTGAGTGGTCAGAAATATGGAGGCTGGGGGAATCCCAAAGCAATCAGAAGCATGAGGGGAGGTCCATGGGAGGCAGGAAAAGTGGAAAGATGTATGATCTGTGTTTTTGGTAGAAAGTAGAAGTTTGGCTGGACAGGAAGAGTGTTGCAGGTGGAACGAATGGTATGTGTGAGGGCTCTGGAGTGTGCTTTTATAGGGTGCAGCTCAGTTTGTCAAAGAGGGCTAGAATATGAATGGGGGGGGGTAAGACCAAGACCCTCTCTGTAACCTACCTGCCCTAAAGGTGAGCCTAATCTCTCTGACCAGAGATGGCAGGTAGATAAAAAGATTGAAGGGGAGCCAGGTGCGGGTGTAGGAGAGGGCTATAGGTAGTTTACTGGTTCAGCTTGCAGGGCTGAGTCTCCTTTGACCTCAGCCAGGGTGAGAAAGCTGTGCTGATGATTTGTGGAAATGGCTCCCCCTTACTGCATGATCAGTAAGCTTGAAGGCCAGTGAAGGGAAACTGAGGCTCAGGGGTGAAGTGATCAGTTTTAGATCTCACACTCAAGCCTAGATCTAAGACTCAAACCCTTTCTCCTGCCTGAAGTCATCACACTCTGTCTAGGACAGACCCTGTTTGTACTTGGTACTAACTAAATAGTCATTAATGGTGCCCCTTACAATCCAGAAATATTTCTGGTTTATGCAGTGAATGAAAGGATCACTCTGCTCTTGGCTTGTTCTTCAGTTCCCATGTATAAGGGTTTCTTTGTATTTTCTCTAATCTATAAATCAAGTTCTTTTATTATTATTATTATTAATTAGCAGTAACTTAGGAATTGACCTCAGGACCTTGATAGGCAGGCACTCTACCACTTGAGTTTGTGTTGATTATTTAAAAAAAATTAAATTGTTATTATAAAGGTGGTGTACAGAGAGGTTATTGGGACAATGACACCTCTTCCCTCACTCCTAGTTTTTCCCTCCCACCCCATCCACAAAATTGTATAGTTCATTTTCAACATGTGTTGATTTTTTAAAAAGTTTTATTGTAAAAGTATTGTACAGAGGGATTATAGTTACCTAAGTAAGGCAATGAGTACATTTCTTGTCAAACATTGTTACCTCCTCTTTTGTTTTTCTCTCACTTCCCTCCCCTCTCCTTCCCATGGTGATTTTTTTTTTTTTTGTCGGTTGTGGGGCCAGAACTCTGGGCCTGAGCACTGTCCCTCGGCTCTTCAGCTCAAGGCTAGCACTCTACCACTTGAGCTACAGTGCCACTTCCAATTTTCTGGTGGTTTATTGGATATAAGAGTTTCATTGACTTTCCTGCCCAGGCTGGCTTTGAACCATGATCCTCAGATCTCAGCTTCTTGAGAAGCCAGGATTACAGGCATGAGCCACTAGTGCCCGGCTCATGGTGACTATTTTTAGGATAAAGTCTCACCTTATGCCTAGGCTGGCCTGGACTCTGGTCCTCCTATTTACTGGAGCTTCTCCACATTGCTGGGATGATAGGTGAATGTCATCTTGCCTAGCCATTATGATTCCCCAAATACACTACTCCCAGCCATTAGTTGAGATATAGTTTCTTGAACTTTTATGCTCAAGCTGGTTGAAATCTGCATCCACAAATCTCTGGCTCCCAAGTAATGAGGATTATACGTTTGAGCCTCTACACCTAGTCATAAATCAGATTTCTTACTTAGCCTGTGCACCCAGGATGGAGTGGATTAACACCTGTCTGGGGACCCAATTCTGCACAAGGACAGCAAATGGCTCACATGCTTCTTAGCTGGAGGAGGATGAGCTGAAGGGGTCAGGGGTGTGGGTGGGACAGTTTTGCCAGGCGTCGGGGGATGCCTGCAGGCCAGGGTCCACTGAGATGCACTTCAAGGTATAGGTGGGTACAGTGACAATGCATGAGCAAAGGCTCAGAGGGGCCATTGTGGCAAGCTAGCATGTTCTAGTAGGCTGGGGCACATGCCAGTGGGAAGCACGGGGCTGGGGCAGGGATGCTCCTGAGGCCCTTTTCTCAGAAGTGTACCCTACCCTTTCCCTTTGGGGATTTCCCACATGCTGTGTCTTCCTGACCCTACTTCTGCTTCTCTGGGTCCAGTCCTGACTCAGCAGGCACATGCCCTGCACTGTGCTGCTAGAAGGGTCAGCCAGGAGACTTCCTGGAGGAGGTGGCTAGAATGGAGCCTCAAGAACTACAAGTTACCCTTGCCCGCTTCTGGGGACACGGTTCTCTCCCTGTAAAACCTCTGCTGGGAGGGGGGTCCTTTGCCTGTGTCCTCTCTTCTCATCATGGGGACAGCGGCCAGCTGTGAGAACTATGATCTTGTCTTTCTTGGAGAGAAAGCCACTCCAGAGCTGGCTGTACCTTGAGTATGAGAAGGCTGGCTCTTGGCCGACCTTCTTTGTAAGCTGTTGTGCTGGATGCTTGTGTTCAGATCCCAGCAGCAGGATCAAGGACCAGTGCCTTAGTTACCTCATCTGCAAAGTGGGACAATAAGCCTTAGCTCATAAAGCTTTCATAATAAATTAAATCAATCTATGTAAAGCACTTAGAAGGTAACTGGGAATACACACACACACACACACACACACACACACACGAGAATTTATCCACATATTTATATATAAATTCCTGCTTAAAGCTGGGAATACAAGAATGAAAGAGTGGAGCCCACAGTTGGGCAGCAGACCCCATGCAGGTGCTCAGGACAGTGGAGGGGATGTTTTGCATGCAGACAGGGGAGGGCTAATGCTGCTTGAACCCCTATTACCACCCTCTCCATCAAGCTGGCTGGGCTTTGGGAACCAGGCCCACTCAAGCCGCCTTGTATTGGAGGAAACAGTCTGTCCTGCCTGCACTGGACCACAGTCTGGCTGGCCCTGGCCCTGTTGGGTTTCGCCTTCAGCTAATCACAGGCCAACCTCCACAGGCTGCTTTGTCTTGGCCTCTGGGAGGCAGCAGTGAGCATCCACATGCTTGTCAGGAAATCTCCAAGTATATCATGCTGACCAGCTGCCCCCTCTTTCCCAGCTGGTGCCCTTGGGCAGGCAGGCACTCACTCAGTGGTTTCGCTCACCCTCCCATTTTTATTCCTAATGACCAGCTGTCTACCTGTCCATCCACTATTTGTTCATCCACTGGCATGCTCTTACTAGCCACTCACCTGGCCCTGCCCTGATGTGGTAGTGTCAAGTCAGAGGCTTCCCCCGTCCTGGAGGGACTCGGGATTAAGTGGGGCAGGCAGGGGCAGGCAGCCTGATGCAGTGCCCACTGCTGGTCTTGTTAGACTCAGCCGAACAGTGAAACTCTTGAGACCACCGTTGCCCCTTCCCTCCCCCTGGCATCAGAGAGGAAGACAAGGGCGCCAGGGCTGTGGCAGCTCTTTCTCTGCAGTGGGGGGTTCTCATAGCAATCCACGCCGCCCCTGTGGTCCTCCAGGTGACAGTTCAGGGGCAAGGTCCTGTCCTTGAAGGACCAGAATAAGCAGATGACTCACAGGGCCCAGCCTGCCTTGAAACCTCTTGCCCCATGGGGGTTAGTGCGCCTTCTAGCATGTTCTAACATCCCAGACTTTGGAGCCTCAGGTCCCTGTCTGGATATGCCTGGTTGCAAGTCACCACAAGCCCTGGCTTGTGCCCCAGGTGGAGTGTCTGCCGACAATCTTTCCTGTCCCAACACAGGTCCCACATAGGCTACTGTTGCCAAGGTAGCACTGCTTAGTAACATGGCTGCCCTGCTAGGAGAGGGTGGCCAGCCGCTGGTTGGACTCCACACAGGAGGAGAGAAGGGCAGATCCCCTCCCATCTGAACACAGAGAAAGGATAGTTTTAATACTAGTGATGCAGAAGGAGCCATGGGTCCTAAGATGAACACAGTGGTGGAGCTGGAGTTTGGGTCCTGCCAGCAGAGCATCTGGCACATAGGGCATGCTTTGAAAACTGAACAATGAGTCTAGAGCTCACAGAGGAGGGAAACGGGTCACAATGGAGGAGAGAGGAAAGATTCAGAGGAGGACTTGGCTCTAGAGGCAAGAACAATGGGATGCTCTTGAGACTGGAAGCTGAGCGAAGGGGAACTCTGGTAGAGGGAAGAGTGGGCGCCACAGCCGAGGTGGATACATCATATCACACACAGTCAGCCACCTCTGGGAACACAAGGGCAGAGCAGAAATAACCCACTCTGCTGCTTGTTGGCTTCTGGGGGATACAGACAGACAACAGCTGGCTGGGCCAGGCCTGCAGAGCTCAGGCTTGTTCTGGCTATGGGCCTGGAGCGTCCCAGGTGCTAGTATGTGACACAGCCTGCCCACTGAAACAGTCCTCACTTCATAGAAGAGGAAACCAACGGTCAGAGAGGCTGGGCACTTACCCTAGGACACAGGAACTAAGGGACTGAGCCGAGGTTCAAATCCTGGTTGTCAGTGACAAAGCCCTTCAGGAGATAGTCAGTGGCAGAGAGTAGGGTGCCAGGATGACAGTTGCACTGAGGGAGGTAATCCCAGGGGGCCTGAACCTGGCCCTGGAGGGTTGGGGAGGGATGACAGCAAAGGGATGAAAATGATAGGGTGAGGGGGGTGGAAGGGGCCTACAGGTAATAGGAGGTAGTGAATATGCAAGTCTGGGCAAGAGAGGAGGCAGCCTGGCTCTACACGTCAACAGTTCAGGGACTCAGGAGTTGGCTTCTAAGACTGGTCTGTGCCTCAGCCCCTGCCCATTTCAGTCCCTTCTTACTCCTTTGCCAATGGAGGTCAGACCTCACCTCCCCCAGGAAGCCTTCCCTGATTCTCCATGTAGTCTTCACCTTTCCTCCAGCATGGAGGTCCTGAAGATACATGTGGCTAAAAACTGGAGCCCACGGACAGGTGGTCATCTCATTCAGGCAAAGAGATGTCTGCCTAGAGTACCAGGAGGGTGAGGCAAGGAAGGTGTGTGTGTGTGTGTGTGTGTGTGTGTGTGTGGTTCCTTTCTGCAATGTCTGCCTAGAGTACCAGGAGGGTGAGGCAAGGTGCTGTGTGTGTGTGTTGGGGGGGGGTTCCTTTCTGCAAAAGTGTTTGCTGTAGCACAAGTGAGCATGGGCTCAGTGGCCTTGAGCCCCTGGCTCTGTTGCTTAGTGACATCCAACTTTTGTTCTGACCCCAGTCTTCCCTCCAAGGAGGAGGAGTTACTGCTGTCCTCACTGTCAGCTGGTCCCCAGCCAGAGCCTGTGGAGCTCCCGTCTGCCCTCCCATCCACCCTGTTCCAGGCACCTCCCCAGCCTCCATCACCACCTCTGTGTCCTCCTGAGATACCTCCCAAACCTCTTCGCCTGCCCCCGGAGTTTGGTAAGTGCCACAGCCAGACAGGGTTCCCTGCAGGTTGGGTTGGGCTCTGGATTGGCTCTGCAGAGCATGCAGCCAGCACACTCACTCAGTCTAGCAGTCACCAGCCCCCTGTGTAGCCTGGGCCAGTCCTGGGCCCTCTGGAGCACCAGTCTCTATATTCCCACCTGCCCTCCAGAGTGGCAGGCCTGGACCCTGGTAGACTCCTGAAGTAGCGGTATTAGGAGTCTTGAGTTGGCTCCCCATGGAATGATCTGAGTTTGTACCTTGCTAGTCTTTAGTGGATAGTCCTTGTCCCTGTCCCCAAGTTTGCTGCCCGGTCAGCACTGCTTGTGGTGGCCCTGCCTCTCCTTAGGTATAAATTTCACTTCCTGTCCCCAATCCCTTTCTTTTGAAAACCAGGCTGGGGTGGGGCTGGGGGTGGGACCTTCCTGGTCTGAGGGTGTCCTTTGTGAAGCTAAGAATGGTGCCCAGGGGAGATGGCCAGGCCAGGCTCCTTGTTCTGAGTGTCCCTTTCTCCTTTCTTTCCAGATGACTCTGACTACGATGAGGCCCCAGAGGAGGGGCCAGGGGCCCCTGCTAGCGTGATGACCAAGAAGGTGGGACAGGGCAGTGGTTGAGGCCATGTGCCCATGGAATGGAGGGGGGCTGTCCAGAGACCCTCCCAAACAGCATGGGCAGACATTTCCCAGGAGAGCTCCTCTCCCAGTTCCATCATCTTGCCTTAGAGGGGTTGGGGTCAGGTACAGAGCCAGAATCTTGGGCTAGGGCCTCGGACTCCTGCTCTAGATTTTAGCTGCACCTGGCTGGGTATGTGTGGTACCTTCTGTGTTTCTGTCACAGAATAACTGTCCCTTTCTTTGTCTGTTTTCCTTTCTGTGTTCCCAGAGTGCCTTCCTTCCGAGTGTATTGTATTGTCTCTCTCCTTCTGAGACTTTGTGTGTGTGTGTGTGTGTGTGTGTGTGTGTGTGTGTCTACCTGTGTCAGTACTGAGGCTTGAACTCAAGGCCTAGGTGTGCTGTCCTTTAGCTTTTTTGCTTCAGGCTAGCACTCTGCCACTTGAGCCATAGCTCCACTGCTGGCTTTTTGGTGATGAATTGGAGCTAAGAGTCTCACAGACTTCCCTCCCTGGTCTGACTTTAAACTGTGATCCTCAGATCTCAGCCTCTTGAGTAGCTAGAATTATAGGCATGAGCCACTGGCTGCCAGCTTGTCTTTCTGTCTTCCCTAAGTCAGTGTCTGGTACTGTTTCTTCTGTCTCTGTGACCTGGGTCACTGGGTCTCTGCTGGTGGGTGTGTGTGTGAAGAAACGGAAGTGAAAGTGCTGAGTTGTGGGTTAGGGGCAGTAGGCATGGCAGTGGGCGGGTGACGTGGGGCTTGAGGGGAAATGTGGCACTAAATGGGTCTGTGGGGACAGGAGGAGCCCCCTCCGATCCGAGTCCCGAGGGCTGTGCGTGTGGCCAGTCTGCTGAGTGAAGGGGAGGAACTATCTGGGGATGATGAAGATGAGGATGACCACGCCTATGAGGGCATCTCCAAGTGAGTGTCCTTTCCACCAAGTCGCCCTCCCTCTCACCCCTGGCACTCCCATCTCCCCACCCCAGCCTGAGGGACCCCCAGCCTGGCTCTCCTCTTTCCCTCCTCTTGTCCTAGCAGTGGGTGGCCCACCAGCAGCCTAAGTCCAACCTTGCCCAGCCTGATCCAGGAGCTCCTGCCGTACCCCATGGATGAACTGCCTGGGGGCTCCACCCCCACCACATCAGTCATTAAAGCCGGCTGGCTGGACAAGAACCCACCACAGGGGTGAGTGGGGCCTGTTGGCCCTTGCTGGTTGTTTGCATGGGGCAGGTACGTCAGAACATAAAAGTTGTCCTGAAACTGACAACCACTGACTCACACCCCCCCCCCACACACACACACTTGTTTTATTACCCTTACAATTGGGAAAGCCTATTTTGAGTCTGACTTAAATCATTTTTGCTGTAGGTTTAGTCTATCTTCCTCTTAGAGGCCATGTGGGATCTTTTTCTCCTTTGAACCTGGCTGATCCTAAATTTGCGGGTTTCTAGGGGGGCGGGGGAGGCTGGGGATAATGTAGAAACCCGTCTTCTGAGCCCCAGTTCTTTGCTCCTCTGTTCCTCTGCCTGTCCAGATCATATATCTATCAGAAGCGATGGGTGAGGCTGGACGCTGAGCACCTGCGATACTTTGACAGTAATAAGGTAAGGCTGCCAATCGGCCAGTCGTCCCTGACTTAACCTTTCCTTGCTCCTGCCTGAGCCTAGGCCGTTCTCCAGCACTTGGTCCTAGCTGATTCTCAGCAGAGCTGAGGGCAGTGGGCTGGGTGAGCTCAAGGTCATGTTGGCCACCTGCAGCAGGCAGGCCTGCGGCTTGCATTTTAGCTAAGGCCAGGGGAATGGGGGTTCCCACCCACACTGCCTGAAATACACCCCTTGTCTCTTTTCCCCAGGATGCCTACTCTAAGCGCTTTATCCCAGTAGCCTGCATCTCCCGGGTGGCTGCTATTGGGGACTTGAAGTTTGAAGTGATTACCAACAACCGGACCTTTGCCTTCCGGGCAGAGAGTGATGGTGGGGAGTTCTGGGGTTGTGTTGTGTATGTGGGGGGGAGGTGGAGGAAGGGGGAGTGTGTATAGAAGAGACTGCAAGTCTTGCCAGATGTAGAGAAGAGACACAAGGCCCACCTGGTCCCCCAACTGGGGAAGCAGTGCCCCTTTGTGGGTGGGAGAAGGAAGAGAAACCTCTATGGCTGGCTCTGATACACACAGTACCTGACCCCAGAGCCATCGGTCCCCATGCACAGGGAAACAGACTTCAGCAGGTACAGTGACTTGCTTAGAGTAAGTGGCACAAACGGAGCTAATCTAGGTTGGAGATATAGCAGAGTGACAAGCCATCTGGGTGGGCTTTCTGGTAGAGGTGTTGGGGGGTGGCCCTGGCCAGCTCAAGCTCAAGTGTAACCTTTGCCCTTCTGCAGCTGAGCGGAAGGAATGGATGCAGGCTCTGCAGCAGGCAGTGGCTGAGCAGCATGCCCGTGCCCGGCTGTCTAGTGCTTATCCCTTGGGAGTGCAAGGCTCCGATCAGCCTGACAGAGCTGGCAGTCTGGAGCTTCGAGGCTTTAAGAACAAGCTGTATGTGGCTGTGGTCGGGGACAAAGTACAGCTCTATAAGAATCTGGAGGTGCGAAGGGTTTGACCAGGTCACTGAAACTACCCTGCCCCTTGTCTGCCTACTAGTTCTTCTCCTTGCCCCATGCCCACTCACCCTGATCCGTCTGCCTGCCCCGTACCCACCTACTGAGCCCCCTTCCTACTTCACACCTGCTTCACGCCTTGATGCTGTGCTTTCCCTATTTGCCTTCCCTGCACTGAGTCCTGCTCTTGGACCCCCTCCTACCTCTGGTTCTCATCTTACCACTGTCCTCCATCCTTGCCTGGACTCCCATATTGCTCACAACCCTGAGCCCAGCTTTTTGCCCTACTCCAACTCCCTAGCACTCCCTAAGCTCCCTCCTACGATGTTGCTAGTCCCTTGGTACTATATTCCTTTTTATCCCCACTTCTGGGTTATAAGCCTATGCTAAAACCTTGTGTTTGACCCTTCTCCCACCTGTCAGGAATACCACCTGGGCATCGGCATCACCTTCATTGACATGAGCGTGGGCAATGTGAAGGAAGTCGACCGGCGTAGCTTTGACCTCACCACACCCTACCGCATCTTCAGGTGAGTCTCCTCCCCTTGGCTCAATGGCTTCCTCCCTCTTTCCCAGCACTTTCTTTTTGCATAACAGGGGAAGCCCCTCCTCCTTCTATTTTGGGTCTCCCTCTTCTCAGCCTTGCTTTATAACACCAGCCTAATTCTACCAGCCCTGAGCCCAGCTGGCTGTCCAGCAGGACCTGCTGGAGCTCTAGGCCTGCCTGTCTGATGTATCGGTGGGCATCACCTCTGTGACCCCTTGCCCTGGGAATCCCTGCCTCCTCTCAGTCCTGTGTGGCCTGTCCCCGCCCCTGTGAGCTCCCAGTGCCTGTGGCTCTCCTGTCTTGCCCCTTGCCCTCTTGGCAGAGTCCTGCGGACCCTGGCCCTGGCACTCGCTTTTCTGAGCCTTTCACTCTGCCCACACTGATCACAGAGGCCTTTTTTTTTTTTTGGTCAGTCATGGAGCTTGAACTCAGGTGCTGTCACTGAGCTTTTTTTGTTCGAAGCTGGTACTCTACCACTTTAAGCCATAGTGCCACTTCCAGTTTTGGGGAGATTAATTGGAGATAAGAGTCTCATGGACTTTCCTGCTCGGACTGGCATTGAATCGAGATCTTTTAGCTCTCAGCCTCCTGATGCCTCTATCTAGGATTACACTCAAGAGCCACCAGCACTCAGCTTCCCTCTGTATGATTCTGAGGTTGCCCCCATTGCCCTGGTTGGCGACTGCCATCAGCCTTAATGGTTCTGATGGGGTTGGCATAAAGGGCTTCTTTACTGTGGTTGGTCGAAGTGGGCTTGTGCTTGTTTTGAACACTAGCAACTATAGTTTGACATTCTGGTAGAGAGTGAGGTGTCTTCAGCTCCTCTCTCTCTCTCTCTTTTTTTTTGTCAGTTGTAGGGCTTGAACTCTGGGCCTGGGCACTATCCCTGAGCTCTTCAGCTCAAGGTGAGCACTCTACCATTTGAGCCACAGCGCCACTTACTGTTTTCTGGTGGTTAATTGGAGATAAGAGTATCACAGGCTTTCCTGCTTGGGATGGCTTTGAACCATGATCCTCAGATCTCAGCCTCCTGAGCAGCTAGGGTTACAGGTGTGAGCCACCAGCACCCAGCTTCAGCCCTTCTCATAAGGTACTTGGTGCTCACGCACTGGACCTCTAGCAGCAGTACTTTCCTTGACCACAGCAGGGTGGTGCAGCCTCTTGAGCATACATGTGGTGCTTAGAGGTAGTGGTGGCAGTAGGAAACTAGCCATAGGGGTCTCTTTTGGAGAAAGTGGAGGGAGATAATCATCTCTTCATTGCCCAGCCAGGTCTTCTTACCCTGAAGAGCAGCAGACAAGTGACAGGGCTCCAGGTATCTGTGTGTTGAGTTGTTGAAGCTCTTGGTGGGTTAGAGTCACAGTTGGGGCTGGGTAGGAAGCAGGTTGAGGATAAGGGTGAGAGACACCTCCATATCCTCCCTTCCTTTCCACGTAGACATTGACAGGTTGGTCTTTGTCCTTGGGGTGCACTCTGCCCTCCTGCCTGTCACAGGGTTGTTCCTGTCCATCTTCTAGCCTCTTAATTCCAATCAGCAGAGGTTCTGGGAAGGCACTGTACCAGCTTGTCCCTTTGCAAATGCTGTTGCCTGTGTGTAGAACACTCTTCTACTTCTCCTGGCTTAACACTTACCTGTCTGGTCTCAGCATCATTTCTCTCCATTCCCCTGGCTTCTCCAACCCGTGTGCCTCAGGTGTATGGTATCCTTTCTGTGTCGATGCTTGCCATCTCCACCATACCCACCAATGCTCTTCCTTCTGACTCAGATCTCCCCGATCTTGTCTCCCCACTTTATGCTATGCTTGCCTTCTATCATCTCCCAAGTCCTTCCAAGCCCTTTCTCACTGGTCTCCCTATTCCTATGTCCCCAGCTTCTCAGCTGACTCAGAGCTAGAAAAAGAGCAGTGGCTGGAGGCCATGCAGGGAGCCATTGCTGAGGCCCTGTCGACCTCGGAGGTGGCCGAGCGCATCTGGACTGCGGCCCCTAACAGGTTCTGTGCTGACTGCGGGGCTGCCCAGCCTGACTGGGCCTCCATCAACCTCTGTGTCGTCATCTGCAAGCGCTGTGCAGGTGTGTGTGCATGCGATGGGCACCAGGCAGAGGTGGATGGGGCTAGCTGATTGATGGCAGGTGACCTGTCTGTCAGGCAGGACTGGAGCCACAGTTCTGATGTTGTTTCTGAGTGCCAAGCCATTCTTGCTAGGATTGACTTTCAGCCTTACATTGCAAGGCAGGGCTGTATGCTTACATTGCAAGTGGGGATCTTGGAGACACAGAGGGGAAGATGGTACTTGGCATGTAAATGGGCAGGACTCAAGCCTGGGCCTTTTTGTGTCTCCTCCATGGGGCACTTGGGCTGAGCCAGGCTCTGCAGAGTGAAGGTGGAACTGGTGTTTTCTCCAGAAGGGATGGGAGGCAAGGGCCCCAAGGACATGGTCCGTGTTATAGGCCAGGCCCTGCCTGGTGGGCAGAAGCTGAGGTTGGAAACCAGTGCAAGGGAACGAAAGAGGGTGGAGCCCAAGGTTTCTTCACTCTGAGTTATGAAGCTCTAGCTTGTGGCAGGCCTGTGCTTTGTGTAGGGGCTGGCCTCTCAAGAGAGCTGACAGTGCCCAGGTGGTGGCTTTGGATAGCCATAGATGGGATTCCCTTGAGTGTGAATCCAGAAGTAAGGACAGGTCTGGAGAAGTGACTGAGCTTGAGGGAGGACCCGTGGGATATCTAGGGCAGATGTGAGTCTGGGCTATGAGTCTGGGTGCAAGAAAATGACAACCTTGCTGGGACTAGATAATGAAGGCATTAGCTTCGTAGGCAGGAGACTGACCAGAGGGGACATGGGGTCCCACATCAGGTCTCCCAGGCTGTAGCTAGGTAGTACTAGGCACTTTGTACCCACAGTTTTTTTTTTTTGCCTCTCATGACCTGTAGCCAAGCAGTGCTTCATTCCCTAAGGCTCCAATCACTCCCCTCACCTTTCATTCCACCAAGATTTCTTAGTCACTTACTGTGTGCCAGAACCTGTTCTAGGTGCCAAGGGCAGCCTCAAGCAAGTAGTCAGGTTCCTGCAGGCAGTTTGGTAGTCTACTTGGAAAGGCCAAAAAAAAACACAGGAACCAATTGAAGTATTAGGACTGCCAAGTGCTAGAAAAGGACTGTATTGTTTGGGAAACCCTCTCTGAGAGGGTGGCATGTCAGCTGAGACCTAGAAGAAGGTGCCACCGTGGGGAGCTGGGAAAGAATCCAGGCAAGAAGGTGGGGTTGGAGGGAAGGGGGAATTTACATCTAGTTCTGGGGAGCAGCCAGACATGTGAAGCAGGGATTTATCATGATGGGATTTGCATCTCTAAGCATTCAGCTGGCGGGATAAGTGGAAAGTGGCCTGCAGGGGCCCAGTGTGGCTACAGGGAGTCCAGGTGAGGATTGCAGGCTTCTGTACTCTGGTGTAGGGAGGAGGGGCATGTGACCAGATTCCAAAGCTGGGCTAGGACTACAAGCTTTAGCTTCTGAAGCCTGCTTGTGGGCCCTGGATGGACACTGGGGGTGGATGAGCAGGGCCCAGATGACCAAGGCTGGACTTCATCTACAGGGGAGCACCGTGGCCTGGGTGCTGGAGTCTCCAAGGTACGGAGCCTGAAGATGGACAGGAAGGTGTGGACAGAAACACTCATCGAGGTGGGGACACTTCCCCACCCCATCTGCCATACTTGCCTTTGATGTGTGAGGTTCACCCTTCTCAGCCACAGCCTGGGGATGTCATTCCCTTCCCATCTCATTGATCGCTTTGGAACTGCGCTAATCTAGTGGGTGGGGATTTTGGAAAGGCCAGCCTTTGGCAAAGTCAGTAAAGTGGCCAATGAGCTAAGAATGTTTATATAGTTTTAAAAAGTTGTAAAAAAAAAAAAAGGAAGAAGATATGCAACAGAGACTGTGTACGGCTGAAAAGCCTAATCTCTGGACTATTTGATCTTTTAGAGAATTTGCTGAACCCTGATCTAGTTCAACTTGTATTCCATTGCACAGATGTGGAAACTAAGGCCCTGGACAAATTACCCAGCAAGTCCTTATTTACCATTCCAGCACTTTCCCATCTCACTTCCTGGCTGACCTGGGCCTCAGAGTGTCTATCTCTCAGAGGCTCTCACATGCACTGTGGGTGCAAGATGCACAGTTTGAGGGCACACAACACATGCACGCACACTTACACCTGTGTACTTGGATTTCACTGTGCCCAAATAAGCTGGGAATTCCAGAGCAATTTAGATGTCACTTCTACATCTCTGCTCTGTTGGGCATGTTAAGTGCTAAGGACTTCAGATTTGTTCATTGGTTGACTTCCAATTTTGTGAGTTAGAATTACAATACCCTTTATATATACTGATGTAGGCATTGAGTTCCTGGGAGAGAAAATAACTTGTTGAAGCCCTAGAGTGAATCATGGGTGTGGCAGGGATGCCTAGCTTTGTTCTCTGCCGTAATTCCAGCAGAGAACATTGGATGTAACAGAGAGGAGTGGGGAGCCCAGGAAATGGCAGTGGAATGAATAATGAGCATAGGAAAAATGGAACTGGATCCCCAGATGCCGCATGTCTGCACTCCTCTATGTCCCCACTTGTCCAGAGGAATGTGAGAAACAGGAGTGCTTCCCAAAGTCCTGCCCACCCCTTTGGCTGATGGGATAGATAGATCCCTTGCCTTGACAGCTTCAGGAATGCAGAGTTCCAGATGTGGAACTGGGTAGGGCAATAACAAAGCCCCAAGGGACCAGGCTCCAGGCTGAGGCTTCCACCTGTCAGACTGTCTCTTGTTCTTGTCACTGAGCTGAGGACCTAGGCTTAGATCCCAGAGCAGGGTGAGGGGGCACCATGGCCCCTAGTAGGCCACAGAAAAGTGAGCAGTGGCTTGGCTTGGCAAGCCCCTTACCTGACCATGTCAGAACCCTCTGTAGTCAGCTGCCCATTTGAACTCTTGCCCACACCCACAGCTCTTCTTACAGCTGGGCAATGGTGCTGGAAACCACTTCTGGGCAGCCAATGTGCCTCCCAGCGAGGCTCTGCAGCCCAGCAGCAGCCCCAGTGCCCGGCGACACCATCTGGAGGCCAAGTACAGGGAGGGCAAGTACCGCCGCTACCACCCGCTCTTCGGCAACCAGGAGGAGCTAGACAAGGTCAGAACACTATTTCTTGGGACCTTGAACCCTCCCCTTATCCCTACCCCGTCAGGTTTCTTTCTTCCTACAGCCCCTTTCCTCTATCTCAACCCAGCAATAAGTTGGCATATGGGGAAACTGAGGCCCAGAGGGTCAGCAGAGCCTGCCTAAGGGAAGTCAGGACAATGCAAGGAGGAGCCAGCAATTGCTTGCCTCCCTCTTGATCCCTCTGTCTCCCGCACCCCATCCTGTTCCTTCTAAATCCTGCCAAAAGGAGTGAGCTTGATGGGGATGCTATTTCCTGTCAGGCTCATGAAAAACAGCTGGAGCACTCCGACCCACCCCTATCCACACCCCACTCAAGATGAAGCCCCATGTGGGCCCCAGGCTCTGACAGGCTGGAAGCCAAGTCTTGGGCCTGATCTTACTGGGCCTGAGAGGGAGGCCGCTTGCTGCAAGGCAAGGGATGCCATTTGTGACCTATGCTTGGCCCTCGGCCCCTCCTCCAAACAGCCTCCTCTGAGCAGGCTCAGTCCAGCTCTAAGAGCCCAGTGGGAGCCAGGCCTCCACCTCCCAGGGACCCAGGCGTCCTGCTCCCAGCCCAGCCCAGTCTGGCCTTGGAGCCAGGAGGGCGGTGGCTCCCATTGGTCGGGAGGGCTGGGCAGGCGGTGAGGAATTCAAATGTGGGAGGAATTAGCTACAAAGGCCCCCTCCTCCCTGCCACAAGGCAGAAGAGGCCTGAGATACTCCAGGGGCTTGCAGGCTGACCGGCGGCTGTGTGTCCCAGAGCTGCCACAGGGTGAGGCCTGGGCCTTTGGGACCCCTGCTAGTGGGTTTCCCCGCACCCTCCCTTCCTTGGCCTTTCTCCTCTTCTGTCTTTATTCCACTGTGTTTACTTTCTATCTGAGGATGGGCCACCTAGACTTGAGTGACTCCTTTCTCTTTCTCGCATGTGCCTCCATTCCTACTGACCCCCCCCCCCACTCTCTACTTGGGCTGACCATTCCCCCTCCTTCAGGCCCTGTGTGCTGCAGTGACCACCACAGATCTGGCTGAGACCCAGGCCCTCCTGGGCTGTGGGGCTGGGGTTAGCTGCTTCTCAGGGGACCCAGAGGCCCCTACGCCCCTGGCTCTTGCTGAGCAGGCCGGACAGACGCTACAGATGGAATTCCTACGGAACAACCAGACCATGGGTGAGTGGCTAGTGGGACTATCTCCCTCAGGGGTTGAGGGTCTTGCTGATGGGGTTGGGCTTGGAGGGGTAGACAGTGGGATACTGGTAGGGGGGAGGCGCTGTATATTGCCCTGTCAGGCTTGGGTTATAGCTCACTCCCCAGCTGCAAGTTCTTGGGGAATCCTAGGGCAACAGTGTGCAGCTTAGGATGGGTCTGGGTTTTTGTCAGGATCTGCTTGTGCTGTGTGTGAGTGATGCTTTGTGTCTATGTCCCTGTGACCCCTTGTGTATCTGGGTGCCCCTTTCTGGCTTGCAGTGTTACTCTCTTGGGGTAGTGTCTCTGTTTGAGATGCTGTGTACCTTGGAACTGCTCTGGGCAGTTTTCTTGTCCTGGAGATGTTGAGGCTCTGGGGATTTATGCATATGCAATGGGTCTGTGTTGTTGTATATTCTGGTGGTTCATTTTTTCATGTGACTACACAGCTCTCTCTGGGTGGAGCTCAACACAGACCTGGGCTAGAACCCAGGGTGAGTGAGAAGAGAGGAGGTTTGGGGGGGGGGGAGTGGTGCTGGTTATGGCCTAGGTCTGGCCTCTGGGGCCACATCCTGGGATGGAGGGTGGAGCTCAGTGGCTGGGGCTCTGGGCTTGAGGCCATGATGGGTGGGGTGTGGTGGACTGGAGAGAGCCCAGGTGTCCAGGAGGCATAAGAGACCACCCAGTTAGATTGAGCTCTGGAGGCAGGATGTCCCAGTGCTGACCACTAGGAGCAAAGCGGGAGCTGGGCTGCTTTGTTGAGCTTTGTGCTGTCTCAGACAAACCTCTCTCTAGGGACTGTTGTTCAGTTGGCCCAAAGCCCCTCATTCCAGTGTGCCTGGCTTTGTGCCTCCAACAGGGAGCTCTGGGTGGGCTGGGCACCAAGAAGGCTGCTGGGAGGAGAGGAAATGGAGCTGGCCTTGGGAGTAGAGTAGACTTCCCCTAGTTGGGCAAAAATGGAGAAATAGTTTGTGCAAACACCAGGAGGTGGGAATGGGAGCCTGGATGCTGATCAGTTACTCAAGAGCCAGGGCTGGAGCTTCAATAAGAACCTAGGTGCTCTGGAAGGATAAGATAGGGACACCTTTCTAGGTAGCCAGCTTGACCAACCATTCTTTCCCCTGCTCTGAAGAGGTCCCTCGGCTGGACTCGCTGAAGCCTCTGGAAAAGCATTACTCAGTGGTCCTGCCAACTGTAAGCCACAGTGGCTTCCTCTACAAGACTGCTTCTGCCATCAAGCTTCTGCATGACCGTCGGGCCCGGGAAGGTAGGTGCCACACCCCTCCCCATCCTGGTCCATGGTATTATAGCCTGGCTGCAAGGCCAAGAAGCTAGAGCTGGCTGGGCTGGTGGACTGGTGCCAAGCGAGACTCTAGTGTACTCACCTGAAGGACTTCTGGATAAAGAATTTGGTATATACTAGGTGCTTAATAAATGGGTTAATGGGAGTGGGATGGGCATGATACTGCAGAGTACTCCACTGTTGGAGTCTTGTAGTGACCGAAGAAACCTGCATTGAGCCCCGGTTGGTTAGGGCCCTCGACTGGGCAGCTGTCATTTGGAGCCTATGGATGGTCGGAAGTTTAAGGACTAAATATGAAACTCCATCCCTGTCTGATCTCTTGCCTTTTATTCACTCCCCAACTCCGATACAGCCTGCTGTCCTTAACCTTGTCCCCCAAGATCCTAGGGTACTCCACCACCTCACCCCCTTACCAAAAGATCCTCTTCCCTTGCTCACTCTACCCCAGCTCTGTTACCATCTTGCTGATTCATAGACATGGCAGATCCCCTCCACTAGAACCTCTGCATTTGCCATTTCTTCTGCCCTAGTGCTTTTCCAAAATGTCTCCATTGTGGTCACTGCAGTCAGGTGTCCATGTAAATGGACTTCTGAAGAGATATCACTCCCAAACACCATGTCCAGATAGTATAACTCTGTCCTACAAATCCTCCAGTCCTACTTCCTGGCCTCCCATCCGCCACTCATCTGACTTTAGTCCTGTTTTTGTTGTTGGTTTAAGATGAGGTCTCAATGTGATGCCCAGGTTGTCTTTGAACTCCTGGGCTCCTCCTGTCTCAGCTGCCCAAGTAGTTGAGATTACAGACTGTGTCCCTTCACCCGGCTCAGCTGTCTCTCAGTGTGTATGTCTGGGGCACTCCTGTAGCCCCAGAGCTTGGGAAATAGCCAGCACTCAATAGGCACTTGATACATGTCAGCAAAGTGAAGAAGCATAGATGACACTTTTGAAAGGAGCATGTCCTTGAGGACAGGCTGAGTAATGCATTGCCCTCAGAGGGTAGATTTCAGCCAGAGCCTGCTCTGGGGATGCCTCAGCCCCTCCTGCATGCAGGGCCCCCAGGATGAATCCCTTCATTTCCCAAAGATAGTTCTTTGCAACTCTATGCTGCTCACCACCTCACTTCCCTGGTCTACCTCCCTCCGCCTGACTATGTCATTTATGTAACAGCGTGAGTCATTCTTTTTGCCTTGGTGGCCAGGAAGCTCTGAGCCACTGTGAAGTTGCATGGCCTTGATGTTCAGTTCTTTCTGTTACCTTTTCTGGGCCACATTCCCCTTTCTACTTCTTTTATGAGGTCTCCTTCCTTCCTGAAAGCCATTGTGGAAGGTATGGGTACAGAGTAGAGGGTGCTTCTGGCAGAGGAGTATGGGCACAGAGGCTTCAAGTGGCATTTAGGTAGAGGGGTAGTGTGGGCAGGGGCAGACCTGGGCCTTGATGGCCAGGCTAAAGGCGCAGACTCTACTAAGGACAAGGAGCAGCCATGATTGGGTTTGAGCTTCGGAACAATCAAGACTGATTTTGAGTAGATCACTCTTGGAAGAAGCCGCTGCAGAGGTATGTAAGAGAGGATGAGACGTGAACTGGGCAGGTGTGGTTGGGCTGAAGAGAGGTTGAACGATACTTGTGAGTTAGAATGAAGAGGATGTGGATCAGGAGGGCCCAGGGAGGATGCAGAGTGTTTTTTTTGGGGGGGGGGAGCGGGTCCCTCATGGCTCCCCTGCCCAACTTCTCCCCAGAGTTCAGCCGACGCTGGTGTGTCCTAAGCGATGGGGTCCTGAGCTACTATGAACATGAACGAGCTGTGACCCCAAATGGGGAGATTCGGGCCAGCGAGATTGTATGCCTGGCAGTGCCCCCTCCTGACAGCCATGGGTGAGTACCCCTGGCTAGACTCACAGTCTTCTGGTGCTATGACGTCCAGCCTCTGACTAGGGACACAAGAGAAGCCGGCCCAGAGGAGGACAAAACCTCCCTGGAGTCACACAGCAAACTGGGACTATACAAGTGTTAACCCAGCTCTTCGGAGGCTCCCCAACAAGGCTTTGTGACACCTCTGAGGGGAGAGAGGGGAAAGACATTGACAATGGCAAGGGGGAAGGGGCGGGAAATGCTACTTGGTGGGGGAGTGGGGACAGGGCTGGGCAAGGTTGGTGAGCCCTGGCTTATATATTTGCAGCTTTGAACACACCTTTGAGGTATACACAGAGGGGGAACGGCTATACCTGTTTGGGCTGGAGAGTGCGGAGCTGGCTCATGAATGGGTCAAGTGCATTGCTAAGGTAGGTAGACGCGGGTTAGCTGGGTGGATATCTGATCAAGGCAAGGTGGGACCTCCTGGCTGGTCCCATGAACTTTAGTTTCCTCATTTCTGATGGAGCAGGAATTGGATTGAGGGTGACAAACACAGGACAGGTCTCTTATGTCAAGTGCCTGAAATAGATTGCAGCTCTCAGGGTGGGCAGAGGTCAGGAGACCTGGCACCCATAGATGTCCATCTGTGTTCAGTTGTGAGTGGCAGTGACTCGGGTAGACAGCTGCTCCCAAGAGTAGCTCATCTCTAAAGGGGACAGGCAGGGAGGTTACAGAGCCTAAGAGGGTAGAGCCCAGTGTCTTCTGGGTCTCCTGGGTCTCTATCACCTACTTGTCCACTGCTGAGTTATCTATACCTCCTAGGAATCAATGCTTAGATCCTAAGATTCAGATGAGCCCACCTTGATCTTGGCTGTTCAGATGGGGGCCCCAAGGTGGCTGGAGGCTAGATTGTACTAGTCTAGTCAGTGTTTCTGCAGAAGGCCAGAATGCCTTGGCTCTGGGGTAGGGGGGCAGAGAAGGGGCATCTTAGCTGGTATCTGGGCAGCAGAAGAGGGCACCTCTGAGGCTGTGAAGGGAAGCAGCTGAGCGGGCCTCATCTGCAAGCTGAGGAGCTGGGGGTGCTGGGGGCAGGCTATGCTATTGGTTAATAGGTTCTTCTCTGGCCTTCTTCCCTACCAGGCATTCGTGCCTCCCCTGGCTGAGGACCTGCTGGCTCAGGATTTTGAGCGGCTTGGGCGTCTACCATACAAAGCTGGCCTGAGTCTCCAGCGGACTCAGGAGGGCTGGTTTGCTTTGACCGGCTCTGAGCTCCATGCAGTCTTCCCAGAAGGGCCCTGCGAAGAGCCATTGCAGCTCCGGAGATTGCAGGAGCTTTGTACGTGGCCCCAGACTCCAGGGGACCCTATCCTGGCCCCCTATCCCCCAGACCCTGCCTAGAAATTTGAACTCTATTCCTGCCTGGCTGAAAGGAGCCAGCCTGCCCTCTCATATCCTCTCTGCCTTTGGGGTCACACTCAGATTGGAGGGTGGATCCCAAGGGTAAGTTCAGACTTTCAGGAGGGAGCAGGCTGGAGATTATGAACAAGACTTGGGCCTCACCTTGACTGACTCCTCCACAGCGGTCCAAGGGGACAACGAGAACCAGGTGCTGGTGCTGGTGGAGCGAAGGAGGTGAGCAACAGTCTCCCTGCCCACCTCTGAGAAGTCTGGGGGCAGTCTGACACACCTAGGGAGAGATGGGACACGGGGGACAGAAGACAGAGGTGGGACAGTGACTATTTTTGGCACAGGACGCTGTATATCCAGGGGGAACGGCGGTTGGACTTCATGGGTTGGCTGGGGGCCATCCAGAAAGCAGCAGCCAGCTTGGGGGACACGTTGTCGGAGCAGCAGCTGGGGGACTCAGACATTCCTGTGATTGTGTACCGCTGTGTGGACTACATCACCCAATGCGGTGAGCCCCACTCCCTAGGGCCCAGGCCATGCCCCTCTCACACATAGTCTCCAGTGCCCAGGATCCCTCTGAAAGTATCTGCATGGCTCCTCCCCAGGCCTCACCTCCGAGGGCATCTACCGCAAGTGTGGGCAGACATCCAAGACGCAGAGGCTGCTGGAGAGCCTGCGGCAGGATGCACGCTCTGTGCACCTCAAGGAGGGCGAGCAGCACGTGGACGATGTCTCCTCTGCACTCAAACGCTTCCTGCGTGACCTGCCGGATGGGCTCTTCACTCGTGCCCAGCGCTTAGCCTGGCTGGAGGCCTCAGGTGGCTCCTGCAGCCCATGACCAGCCTTGTCTGTGCTACCTCAAGACTGCCTCCCAGTCCCTTGTCATGCTTTTGGACCAGGCATGCCCCGGCCCCCTCCGCTTCCTCCCTTTGTCCTTTTCTTTCCCCGTAATCTTTGCTGAGCACCTGGCCTGCTGTGATTTGAAGGGCCCAGTAGCTGCCTAGCTTGAGAGGCAGAGCTGCTTGGAGTGTGGGGCAAGGAGGTGTGATGGGTTTCTGATCAGATCTATATCTCCTCCCCCAGAGATAGAGGATGAGGAGGAGAAGGTATCCAGGTACCAAGAGCTCCTGGTGCATCTGCCCCCTGTCAACCGTGCTACTGTGAAGGCCCTTATCAGTCACCTGTACTGGTGAGGAATCATACTGGTGTGAGATCTCAGTGGGTATGGGGTGGAGAAGACGTCTCCCATCTTGGCTGACTGCCTTCCCCTGTGAATCAGATAGGTCTTAGGATTGAGCCATGTTTGCGATCAGCCCTAATCATGGCCATTGTATCATCGCTTTTCAGCCTACTCCTTACCAGGACCAAAGCCATGGCCCCTCCTTCCCTTGCTTACTCTGACCAGGACTTTCCTTGGCTTCATGCTTTGTCACCCATTAGACATCGGAAAGATGGCTTAGGGAAGCTCTGGGCTGGATTCCTTACAGCCTCTCTCCCCTCTCCAGTGTCCAATGCTTCTCAGACACAAACCAGATGACCACGCACAACCTGGCCATTGTGTTTGGGCCCACGCTCTTCCAGACAGATGGACAGGACTACAAGGCCGGCCGGGTGGTGGAAGACCTCATTAGCCACTATGTGGTGGTGTTCAGTGTGCGTGCCAGCCAGTAGTCAGGGGAGGGCAGGGCTGTGTCTCTCAGATGGCAATGACCATCCCTGTCCCTGCCCCTAACCCTTTCTCAGGTGGATGAAGAGGAGCTGAGGAAGCAGCGGGAAGAGGTCACTGCCATTGTGAAGATGCGAGTGGCTGGCACTGCCAGCGGGACTCAGGTGGATGCTTGGGTGGGTCTTGGGCTGGCAGCCTTCACTTGCCTATAGACCTCTTGCTGAGCCCTGTCTCCCCACAGCATGCTGGTGACTTCATCTGCACAGTGTACCTGGAGGAGAAGAAGGCAGAGACTGAGCAGCATGTCAAGGTCAGGGCTGGGGACCCAGAAGGCAAGGGGCCTGTAGAGTTAACTGGGACAGTGGCAGGCCTAGGTAGTCAGAGCAACCAGGCTTCTAGCCCAAGGACATTGCTGGGCCTGTCTTCTCCCGACAATCAGAACCCTCTACATCACAGAACTCAAGAGGGAGCTGACAGGGGTAGTTCTGGGTCTTGACTCACATAGCAGGTTTGTGGCAGAGCAGGGGCCAAGACCAGGACTGGTTGAGCTTCTCCTTGGTCTCCACAGATACCTGCATCTATGACAGCAGAAGAGCTTACCCTGGAGATCCTGGACCGCCGAAATGTGGGCATCAAGGAGAAGGACTATTGGACTTGTTTTGAGGTCAATGAGAAGGAGGAAGCAGGTAAGTGGCCACCAGGACTGGTGCAGGATGTAGGGCAGCCTATCTTGCCTAGACTGTGGTCCTAGTCTGTCCTTCCCTCCAGGGTGATGAAAAGAGGCTTGGATGAGACCTGTTGCCACCACACTGATGAAATTGTGGTCTCTGTAATGGTGGTGACAGGTTGCTGGCAGGAATTGCGGTGCTATGTGTGGTGTGACTATAGAAGAGACAGGGAAGGGGGTAGGTGGTCCAGTGTGACTGTGCTTTCTCAGGTTTCAATGAGTGATGTTACTTGCAGAGAGGATGATACTGAATTTGACAATGGGATTGCAGGTGACACCATTCCTGGTGCTAAAGGGGTTGGTAAGTGATGATCATGCAGGCAGGGTAGCTGTGGTGTAAGCTAGGAAAGCTGTCATGCCAGTATAGAGATCTTGTGGTGGTGAAGGGGGATGATGGGAATGATGAAGGCCTTTTATTGTGAAGGGTAGTCCTGACATCAGTGGAGGTGAAAGGCTATCTTAGGATCAGGATGGGCCACTGTTACTTGTTGAGTGCCAGGCACTGTACTGAGGAGCCAGATGTACTGTCCCTGTCCTCATGGGGGTCAGTCTGGTAAGGGCTGGAGACATTAATCATCTTACAATGATACTGAGAAATGGACAACTATAGCCATATGAGCCAACGCGGTCAGAGCCCCTCCATGGAGCTGAGATGGCACCTGATAGGACTGAGGTAGGTGCAAGGCCACCTGGTACTCAGGAGAAGTGATGGCCCATGCCGAAGGCCCCTTCGGAGGTCCTAGTTAGGAGACTAGGGGAAGTCCAGACAGGGTCGGGCAGTGGAGAAGGAAAGAGCAGTGAGAAGCAGGGAGTGTTTCTGGCAGGAGCATCCTGGTCAGTAGCAGGGTCCCTGATGGGGGACCTATGGGAAATGATCGTGGACATGGCATTGGTCACATGTGCCGATCCAGTTGTGCCAATCCAGACACTCGGTTGTGGGAAAGGTGGTCATCCTGGTGATGTGTTGGGTGTTAAGTGGCATTAGGATGAACGATCAATGTGTAGGTGATAGGCGTCCATGAACTGACCCTTGGTAGTGTTAGGATGTACGATCTCAGTGACAGTGGTTCTGGCTTCTCCCCAGAGCGGCCCCTGCATTTTTCGGAGAAGGTGCTGCCCATCCTGCATGGGCTGGGCACAGACAGCCACTTGGTGGTGAAGAAGCACCAGTCCATGGAGGCCATGCTGCTGTACCTAGGTAGGTGGCATCTCCAGGGGCACAGGCCAGGTGGGTCCCCTCCATCCATAGCTGGAGCACCATGAGGGGAGCTCAGGTACAAGGCTCCTGGTGGAGAGGTCTCCGGGGAGACCGGTAACAGGGAGAGACCTAGTCCCCAAGTACCTGGGTCCATCGGAGGGGGAATGGTACAGCCCGTGCCCACTGCAGTCCTCCCCCAGCCAGCCGTGTGGGCGACACCAAGCATGGCATGATGAAGTTCCGTGAGGACCGCAGCCTCCTGGGTCTGGGGCTGCCCTCAGGCGGCTTCCATGATCGCTACTTCATCCTCAACAGCAGCTGCCTGCGGCTCTACAAGGAAGTCCGGGTAAGCGAGATACCTCTATGGTGGGGAAGAGCTGTGGACTCCCAGGGACCTTCCTACTATGGTCCTGGGGGCCACTCCAGTATGCCCTACAGTAGCCCTTGTAAGTCTGGTATCTGAATGTCATCCGATCACACATACCCACTCTGTTTACCTGTGCCGGTGGCTTGTCACATCACTCACATAAACACGTTCCATAGTGATAGATGTGGCAACTTGCTTGGCCACTTCCCAGGTCGAAGCCCACTTAGCCCACCTCCTACCCTCTTTCCACATGCTGGGTTCTCCCACGCAGACTCCTCAGCACCCTCCACCTTCTGTACATACACGCACTGTCCCCTACACACCCCTGCATGCACCATCCTGGCTCTAGCCCTGGGATGATGCCTTCCATAACCCTGATCCTCTATCAAACAGAGCCAGAGGCCATGGAGCGGGGCCCCTGAGACCGTGAGTAGCTGTGGGTTGACCGCCAGCTGCTTTCCCTTATACCTCCTGGGGGCCAAGCAAACCAGATGGGAGCATGGGAACATAGCCATGGCTCCCAGCTTTCTCCAGGCATGGTTCCCTGCCCTCTTGTCAGCAGGTACTGGTCCCTACCCTGGAGCTCATGACCTGAGCTGCACTCTTCTTCCTTAACTCCAACCCAAATTCCTTTCTTTAAACCACAGCCCCAAATCACTATGATGCTAAAATTTTCCACTGGACTCAGGGAAGAAGTTATGAAGCCAGTAACAGAGACCCCAGGGTCTGAGCTGGGCTTTGACTATTATTTGTTTCCAGCACAGCTGCCCTATTTCTACCCTAGAATCACAGGGCTCTCAGATTGTCCCTGCCACTGCCTGACTCTAAAGGGCTATATGGATGAGAGGGGCTGTGGGACATTGCCTGTCTGAGGTGGGAGTGCCTACTCAGCTGCCTTGACTCCCCAGTGAGTACTTGTGTCTGCTCCGTGCATCCCAGCCGTGCCTGGAGGGCCACAGATCACAAGCAGCAGAGGACATAGTTCCAAGCCCAGTCATCCAGCCTAAGCTCCCATAGCTGCCCTGTCAATCTTCAGATGCTTTCTGCCCCTTGTGTCTCCTGAGGATCTGGACAGGCTTGGCCATCGTGGAGGAAGCAGAGAAGATGGAGCAGGGCCCTCACCACCTTCTCATGTTATACCTCTGTTCATGCAGCTTGGGCTTCCAGGAATATCCCTGCTTCTCTCTGTTACACCTGTGATCACACTCTCCCTTCTGCATCTACCCGTCACTCCAGCCAGCCCAGCGTGGTTCTGAGATGTTAGCTCCCTATTTTGTCAGCCCCTTTGTAAGACCCTTAAGGTGGGCAGAAGGGAGACAGGGTGGCTGAGGCTCATGGAAATGGGAGAAGGTGGAGAGTTAGAAAAGGGGCACAGAGATGATGTTTAACCAGGCTCAGTGCCCGGCCCTTTATGAGCTGACAGGTAACCCACACTTCTGCCTTCAGGAGAGGATATTACCCCCTACATGGATGAGAAAACAGGCTTTGAGTACCTGGCCCAAGGCCAAGTCACTGACTAGATTGAACCCCATCAGAATTTTGTGTTCCTGGAAGTTTAGGAGCCTCAGGAAGGTGGCTCATCACAAATGGGCTGAACTCTCCTCACCCAGTGGCAGCCGTGCCTCTGGCCTGGCACAGCCCTGAGCATGTATGGCTTGCCACTAAAGTGTTGGTAATTCTGGCATTTGCTGGTTTTTGTTTTTGTCAGTTGTAGGGCTTGAACTCTGAGCCTGGGCACTGTCCTTGAGCTCTTCCGCTCAGGACTAGTGTTTTACCACTTGAGCCACAGCACCACTTCCAGTTTTCTGGTGGTTAATTGGAGATAAGAGTCTCAAGGATGTTACTGCCTGGGCTGGCTTTCAACTGCGATCCTTCGATCTCAGCCTTCTGAGTAGCTAGGATTAGAGGCATGAGCCACCGGCGCCCAGCTTCATTTATTGGTCTAAGGGCCACAAGACAGAATATTTGAAATTAGGGCAACTGCAGACAAATCAGGCTGTGGTTTATAGGTCATGATTCTTGGCCCACCTGGGACTGTCTTACTGTCATACCAATAGGCCTTCCTCCCTGATTCACTTTATTTCTACGTCCTTCTCCCTCCCATTCAACCTGACTTCTTCCAGACCAACAGCTGGTTTTCTTTCTCAGCGTCATGCCTTCCACCCCTGCAGCCTTGTGACACCTACATCCTTCCACCACCATGCCTAAGCCTCATGTTGTTTCCACCTCCTTGTTAATCTCCAGCACAGCTAGTCGTAGTCTCTCACCCCCCGCCCCGCCATGTCTCCTAGAGCTCCAGGCCCTGCTTGTGTCTGAACGTGGGCAGGTGTCTTCATCTTCTTTGCTGTGTTCCCTACACCATGCTTCTCCTGTATATCCTTATTTGCAGCCTCAGTACCTTCCTCCTGCTCAGCTTTCTCCTTGCCTGTAGCTGTTTACCTCACACCTGTAGCCCAGCATATTCCAGGCCTTCTTGGGTCACCTTATTAGGTCAGGTCCTCCTCCATCAGGTCCTAGGTCATCACAGGTCCCCTAATAACTCCCCCACCCAAAACTGTTCCCTGTGGTAGCACACAGTTCCAGGACCTACGCAGTCTGTCCTTGTGTGATATCACAGGAAAACCCCGAACTGCAGTCCCTGGCCATCCTGAGTCCTCTCTGCTCCTGCTGAGGAGCTGTGCCTGGGGGCAGCTGGGAGCCATGTGGGAAGCAAGGCAGAGGTGGCTGGGTCTTGGATCCCCAGTTTCAGTGGTAAGGGGATCCCTCTCCCCTGCCATCCATCCTGCTGGTTCCAAGAGTGTGCCTGGTAAGGAGAGGGCTCCAAGCACATGGTCCCCAAAGCAGGAGGAAGGCTCCTTAGCTTGACCTCCAGCCAGCCTCTTCCTTGAATCATTGCTCCCATCCCTCTGCCAAAGACCAGACTCATGTGCAGAGGTGGGGGCCAGGCGAGCACAGCAGTGATGTGGTCCCCATCCCCTGTACATAAGTCTCTTGCTTCCTGTCCTAGACCATTAGGAAGTTCTTCCTCTGGTCTACTGAACAGCCATTCAGCTTCAGCTTGAGTCATTAGCCTCTGATGGAGCTAATGATGGCTGACCCTTCTGTTCACACGGTCAACCCTGTGGCTTCTGTGGGTCTGGGGAGGGGCAAAGGATGAGTGACTGAGAGGAATGTGGACATAGCAGCCCATGGAGATGCTCAACTGTGCAGGATCATACCGAGTTCTCCCATCCGATTTGGGCCAATGCTATCAGTCTGGTCTCAGTTTGCAGGGCAGCAGAGCTGAGCTGGGGTTTATCACCCTGGTTGTCCAGGCCGGGACCTCTGTGTGGGGACTAAGGGTTGACTGTCTGATGCTGCTTCAGGGAGAGGTGGGGCCTAGGGGTGGGGGTTGGTCATGCTGGACTGTGAGCAGGGAGAGCTTTGTCAGGAAGAGAAGCCCCCTGCTGGGGCACAGAGGGGCTGGGGAGCAGAGTGGGAGGTGCCAAGGCAGGAGAGTACCCCTGTATCCACCAGACCAACAGAGACCTCTCATCTCCCCTCCCTCCCCGTAGAGTCACCGGCCAGAGAAGGAGTGGCCCGTCAAGAGCCTGAAAGTCTACCTGGGTGTGAAGAAGAAACTTCGGCCACCTACCTGGTGAGCCTGGACTTGGGAGACAGGCCAACTGCAAGGACCTCTGGGCCCCACAACTAAAGGGGCAGCACAGCCAGGGCCTCGAACTTGATAGGGGTCAGTGCAGTGACTCGGAAGTTGTCCCCTTAGTAGCAGAAACAGAACTTCTCAGGTGCTGCCCTGGGCCTCCTGACTCTTAGGCTTTTGTTATATAACAAGCTGTCCAAAGAACTCAGATGCTCACTTGTGGCTGAGAACTGCTGGTGTTGATTAGGATTCTGTCAGTTTCTCCAGTGCCTTGCTGTGCATCAGGGCCCTACCTATAAGCTGGAGGACAGTAATGGGCCACCTCTTTCCAAGGATGATCATGTACTTTAGTAAGTTGAAAAGTTGCCTGTGCTGTTCTTGCTGGTAGACATTGGCGTCACTAGATATCTCCTGGCTGTGCCTGTCCCTGCAGCTAAGGCAAGCCAGGGTAGGTGGGAGTTAGTAGTTTTTGTTCTGTTTCTCATTCTGTGGTGCCTCAGACATGCTAAGCAAGGACTCTATCACTGAGCTACATCCTTAGACCAGGCCTGTGTGGGGATAGGGGACCAGGGCAGAAGAGGCGACAATGTATGCTCCACTTGTGAGAAGGCCCTGGTTCTGTTCAGCTCAGGCCTGGGTTTCTGGGCTCTTTCCTAGGAACCTATGTAAGCTATCACCTGACCCATTCCCTCCTCCCCTCCTTTACAGCTGGGGCTTCACAGTGGTGCATGAGACGGAGAAACATGAGAAACAGCAGTGGTGAGCACAGGCCCCATTCAAAATCATTGGGTCTCTCCTCACTGCCCAGCTTTGTGCCCTGCTAGCAATTCTGGGTGGGGAGATGGGCAGTGTTACCCCTTTAGCCAGACTCTTTGCCGTGACCAGATCTGTGCCCTCTCTGCAGGTACCTGTGCTGTGACACACAGATGGAGCTCCGGGAGTGGTTTGCCACCTTCTTTTTTGTGCAGGTACCCAGTTCAGGGGCGGGAACAGAGTCTTAAAGAGATTCCACTGTGGACAATGGCAACATTTGCTTCTCAGGATTCAAGCCAGCCATTGCTTCCAGGAGATTCCCAGTTACTTTTCCTTCATTTATGTATTCGTAAGCCCTTCATAGTGCCCATTGTGGTCCAGCCTGGAGACAAGCATGCTAGGGACAGAGGAGCCAGAGCCCTGCCCTTGAGGCACACCTACTGAAGAAGGAAAACACTCAGTGTTGTTGTATCCTAACACCATCAGTGCTGTGGTGACAGAGGGAAGCCCATGGACCTGGTGGGTCTGGTGACATGGAATGGGAGGGGATGCAGTAAGGAGAGTGTCATGGGCCTGGGTCTTGGCATGGGTGAGTTCTCCAGGAGGGCCATGGCTCCCAGGCAGAGGGAGCTTTGACTTAAAGCAGAGAAGTTAGTACAAAAATGTTTATGTGAAAGCTCAGAATTGTTTAGAAGGAAGACCAAAAAGGGGTGGGGATTGGGGGGGGAAAGGAAGACAAAAAAAAAGAAGGGGCTCTGGACTGAATTCTTTTGGTCCCTAGCTTCCTAGTAGTCAAGGTGTAGATGGAAACAGTGAATTCTGTATGTCATGATCCCTTGTAAGAAGAGATGCAGACCAGTTCCTCTTGGAGGAATGTTTTTCTCCGAGCTGCATTCCTGGAGAGCTTTGTGGAGATGGCAGTGGTTGAGTAACATAATTGGCTGGGTTTTGCAGGGGATGCAGTCATCTTCTGCTAACAGCTGCTTCTCAGAGAGTCGAGGATCAAAGCTGAGGGTGTCACCTCAGATCATAGCCTGAGGCTTTTCTGGGCAGGATGGGGTGGATCTGGAACTGAGTGGGGAGAATGAGATGTGGCCTAGGTTCCAGAGCCTCCTTTTTACCTGCTCCCCAGCATGATGGCCTGGTGTGGCCCTCAGAGCCTTCGCGTGTGTCCCGGGCAGTCCCCGAGGTCCGGCTGGGCAGCGTATCACTGATCCCCCTGCGTGGCAGTGAAAACGAAATGCGCCGTAGTGTGGCGGCCTTCACCTCAGATCCTCTTTCTGTGAGTGGCTCATCGTCCCTGGGGGCAGGGCTGGGACCTGGCTGGATGCCTGCTTTCACCCCACTACTCATTCTGAGTGCCCTCCTGCCCCTCCCTCCAGCCTCAGTAGGTTTACAGAGCACCCCCTTGCCTGGCCCTGGAGACCCTGGCTACTGAGGCTTCTACAGCCGCTGTAGTGCTGGCTGGCCCTTCTGCCCATCACCAAGGACTTACATCATCCGCACTTCTGTACTCTCTACAGCTCTTCCGCCATGTCTGAGCACTGGAGCCAGCATGGCTCTGCGATGTCGCCGCTGTCACCAGGAAGCCTGCCAGTTCAGACACCCTTGTGCCCTGCACACCTGGCGTGAGCCAGCAGGGGGCGCACGAGGAAGCCATACCCCCCACATCACACATCCTGACCGCAGACTGGGCTTCCCGGCTCAAGGGGCTGGGGGAGGGGGGCAGCAGGATCTGCCCAGGGAGGGGCGCCTCCTAGCTCTCCAGGTGCACCACCCTCCTGGCCTGGCTTGCTCAGGGTCACCTGCCCTGAGTTTGTAAGTTGGAGAAGCTAAGCAGAAACCAGAGCTCCAGAGAGCACCATCCAGGAAAGTCTCTGGGGCCCTGCTGGAAGGGAGCCTGGCCCCTTGCCCCAGACTCCCAAGCAGCTGAAAGTGGGTGCTCTGAAGGAGCACTCAGCCAAGTGCGGAAGGAGCTCTGGAAAAACTTATACAGAGCTGAAAGCTGGACTTTGGGTACTTGAACCACCCTTCCAGTCTGACTGGCTAGGAGGGTCCAGGCCACCTGCTGCCCCTTCCCCACTTTGGGGGCTTTTGATAATATAAATACATCTGTATATTTTACCCTATGGTGCTGAGGCCTGTCATTGGTTGGGGATGTTTGTCCCAGTGTCGGTGAGGGTGCCAGAGGTGAGCACTAGGGCCTTGAAGCTGGTGCATCCTGCTCTCTCCAGGCCTAAGCTGTTCTGGCTTATCTCCCTTGTGAAGCAGAGCCCCATCCTGGCCCTGCTTCCTGCACCCATTGAGCCCCTCTTCAGCCTGTCTAATGAATGGATGCCTGATCAGGCCAGGGCAGACCCCAGCTGGGCCTGAGCCCTGTAGCCTCTGCTACAGTCTGAGCTAGGGCCTGAGTGTACACACCAGTGACACAACTCAGCCTGTGCTGGAGACACCAGGCCAGTGATCACAGGAGCTTTTGTGACCTATGCTCTTGCAGCATGGAGCCCGCATTACATAGGCTGTTGCTCCACTAGGTAGTACCTGGCCCTTGATCCTCCAAGCAGACAGGGCCTTAACCAATGTGGAGACAAAAAGCTGTTCAGAGACAGATGAGGTGCTCTCTGGGAAGGTCCCAGACATGACACTGCTGCCTATCCCAGAACCTCATTGCCACCTGTTTCCAGGGGTCCCACAAGCAGCTCCGCTGACATTTATTCCCAGCCTCCGCCAGTGGCCAGGCAGAACTTGTGGGATGGATCTCATGACCTCTGACTCCGGTGATTGACTCAGAGGATGAGCCTGAAGCAGGTGTCAGTGGGAGATTTGAGGACTGGGACTCCAGGTTGTGTTGAGGACCAGGACTCTGGCCTGTTTCACAGACTGGTTGGAAGTCTCTGGGCCTTCGATCTCTTATCCTGCCCTAGGTGGACTACTCCAGGCCAGACTGATGGATCTCTGTTCTCCCAGGCAAGACAAGGCTGATGGGCTCTGCTGTCCAAAGGCTCAGGCTGGAATTCTTCCCTGCCTCTGACCTTGTATTAACTACCTTTCCCTGAAACCCAGAGAATGAGTGAAACTAGAGGTGCCCCCTTCTTGGCTGGCACTTGTCACTACCTTGTCTCCTAGGCTGGCTGCAGGTACTGCATTGTCTCACTAGGGGGCAGCCACGGACCACTCTGTATTGTTTGGAACTGAGTCTGGAGAGCCTCAATGTGGTGATTCCAGCTCAAGCTTTGCTCCGCTGGGGGATGGAGCTGGACCTGGTCCTGCCTCTGGTCCAGGCTAGCAGTGTTCTGGAAGGCAGCACAGTACAGGAATGAATGGTTTTCTAGGCTCTAGGACCTGGGAGAAGAAGGAACAGCCCCATCACCATGTGCCTGCTGCGAGTCAGCACCTGTGCTGCTCTATGTCCTGCCTGCCCTTGGCAGAAGAGGGAAGTCAGGACCAGGGAAGGGAGATGACTTCCCCAAGCACACACAGCAATTCTGAGTCAGGCTGGAGGTCCACTTTCACTCTCCCATGTTGGAGGGGTCTCCTTCCTCTGTTCCCCTCCTAATTCCAGCACTGTTTTCCCCTCTCCCAAATGGGGTGGATGGGTACTCCCTGAGGAAAAGGTGGAAGTTGGCAGGAGTCAGCTTTTGCCAGAGTGCTTGTCATGGAGGGGGGGTAGGGGTATTGCATCCCAGCTGGAGCTCTCAGGGCTCAACTGTGAGCTCAGCCATCATGAAATTAGAACTGTGTGGCATGGATTAGGGCAGGAGGCGCTACTGGTCCTTGTCATAAGGGTTCTTGCAACCTTGGGTGGTTTGAGCATGTATTTGAGGTTGCTGAGGATGAACCAGAGCTAACAGTGGGGAGGAGCTTGGCGGGGAGGGATATGTTGGGGAGGGCCAATCCAAGTCCAGGCCTATACCCCCAAGGAACCACAGGGAGCTTGGAAGAGGAGGTTGTGGCAAGGCAGGTGAGAGCCAGGGTGTGAAGGCCTTGCATTTGGCGGGGAGGCTGCGGGAGAGAGGCTGGAAAAGCCATTGGGCTTACAGGAAGAGGATGTCTTTAGCTTCCTTCTGGCTGAGTTCTTTCTCTGTTGTGTCTTAGCACCACGGGGGAGACCCCTGGGTGCAAGGGAAATCCCCCTCAGGGAGAAGAGGAAGGGAAGATGGGGGCTCTCTCCCATCCTCCTTTCCCAGGGATTGGCGGGGGCCTGGAGCTGAGGTGTTCCTCCTTGGCCTGCTCTGGTGGTTCCCAAGCTCCTTCCCCAGAGCCCGAAGTCTTAGAAAACACACAAACAAACATGGGTGTGGTCCGACACTCCCAGTTATAAGCTGTGTGGCCCTGGAGGAGTTCCTTAGGACTCTGATCCTCCGTGCTCACTTGTGTGCTTTAGGTTTATTAATTGTCTCTGTGAATTCTGGGAAGGATTAAATGAGCGGATAGGAAGCATCTAGAACTGTCCTTTGCTAAATATGCATAGGGAGACATCATGGCATCCAGAGACCTCTGCAAGCCCAATCTGTTTTCATTCAACAAGCACTTGCTGAATACCTCCAGTGTGCAGAGGTGTGAGGGAGGGACACCTCCTGGAGAAGGGGTGGCAGGAGCACAGGGCCATGTGAATGCTGTGGCTGGAGTGTAGCACCTGTGGATACCCCGGGGCCTCCCTTCTGCACCTCCACTGTCAGGTCTTCGCTCTCCCTGCTTCCTGACTGGACTGCAGCCAAGTCATATGAGCCCCTCAGGTCTTCCCCTACCAGAACAGGACATAGGTCCTGTCTCTTAGCCACTCAATGACCTCAGGGACCCAGGCCCTGCTCCAGAGCCATCAGTCTGCCTCTCATTCACACATGCACAGCCAGTCTGACCCTTCCAACCACTCCTCCAGAAAGCTTCTGGATTGCACTTGCATCCCACTGTAGGCTGTGCACGTTGAGGCCTGTGTGTGCAAATGAGTCATGTCTGTACTGGAACACAGCTAGCTGGCTGGGGACTGGCTATAAGGAAGAGCATCTCTGGTCAGCTGAGGCTAGCCTAACCCTGGCACATCCCCTCTCCCACGCCACTCAGCCTGTGGAAATTTCCACACTTTGTTCTGCCTCTGCTCTGGTTACAGCTCCCACTGCTGTATTTATCACCCTGGAGACACAGTGACACGGGCGCGCACACATGCCACACGTATACACTCATGCTCAGCACACACGTGCCTGCACACCTCAGCCTCACTTTCAGATTTGCAAGTGCATCTCACACACACACACACACACACACACACACAGCACATAGCACATGGAGCAACACCCACACCCACACAAAGAACTCTCTAGGAAAATTGCTCCCCCTCCCTCCTGCTGCTGCTGCTCCTCCCCCTCCCTCCCCACCACCTCCTCCACTGTCCGCCCACCATCATCCACCCACCTCCAACACAGACCAGAGAGAAGGGCTGGCCTGTACCTCCTACTTCTTGTCAGCTGGGAGGCACTTCCCTTGGTGACTGTAGTGTGCCCTCCCCGCCCCCCCTCCCCACCTCTTCTCTGCACTCTGATCTGTCTTCCACATAAGTTGCTCTGAGTCCCCTATGTCACTCTGACTCTGAAGTGGAAGCTATCCTTTCTCCCTGCCCGATCCTGAGGCCCGGGCTGAGGAGGCCCTGAGGCCTGAAACTGCTCAGCTCCTGTCACCTTCGGTCCCCCATCCTGGGTGAGGGGAAGATTGTATGCCTGGCACCATGGAGACCAGTGTCATAGCAACGCTGTTCAGGGTGGGTGCAGCCTTCTTCCTCCTCCAGAGTTGGGGGACCCATAGAAGGAAATGCCAGGGTGCCTGGAGCCAATGGGCCTGGAGCTGGTGCCCAGTGGTGGCCACATCCCTCTCCAGCCCCTTGTCACTCCTAGGCTGGCTCACTTTTGTCGACTGACGGTGGCAGCTGACTCAGAAAACACAGCTCCATAGCTCCAGAGAGGGCAGAGATTCTCCAGCGTCACACAGCAAGTCTGGCCAAGCTCCTGACTCAGCCCTTAGCTCTCTCTCCTGGTTTCCCACCTAGGTCATCAGTCAGTCACTGGGGCAGACAGGTGAGTCTCACTGGGTTCCGTACACCTGCAGAGTCTGCAGCCAGTCCCTGGTATTGGCAGGGATGATGATACAAATGACAATGCGATGCTGACAAATATGACAGAGCACTCACTTGTGTGCTCAGGCTCTGCAGGCATAGCTTACTGCATTCTTAGCACAGTGACCAGCAAGTGGCCTAGCTAGGCCATTCCTCGAAGGCCCTGATGTGCCAGGCCTGGGCCCACCCTAGCAGGTGTTTGACTTAAAGAGGAGTGAACTGCCTTCAGTTTTGTCCTTTATGGTGGAGAGCATTCAGGGGAGGATCCAGGGTTTAATCTGGGTCTGGCCTTAGTGTTTCTGGAAATCCAAGTTGGTTTTCAAACAAGAGAGGGAACAGAGCCTTTCTTGTGTGGTTAGGCCTAGGGAAGACTTTTGCATCTCAGAAATGGCAGACTGGCTTCTAACCCTCAGATCCTTTTGGAAGCATATCTATTGCCCTGGCTGGAGCCTTTGGTGAGAGGAGACCCCAGCCTCCCAGCCTAGCCTCAGCTTGTCTCCTGACCTTGATGGAATTACGTTGCAGCTGCCTCCTGACTTATGTAATCATTCAAATATAGCAGCTGCCTTTATCCCAGTGAATCACACCCCCTCCATCCCCTCACCCTCAGGTGCAGAGAGTTAGTGGAAGAGGTAGATCAATGCTGAGTAGGAAGCTCAGGGTCTCCTGGCAAGGAGGACCTGGTGTGCTAAATGGAGGGGGAGAGGAGGGATGGGGGGAGAGTGGGGGGGGTGAAGGAGGGGTGGAGAGCAGATCCTTCCCACAGAGGCCAGTTCCTGTCCTTGACTCATCCCTGTGAAACTCCACTCTTGGAGAATGAGATCCCTCTGCAGACTCAGGCCATATCCATAGCCTCCTTTCCTGAGCCTTTGTCCCAACTGAGAAGGGCAGAGAGGAAGAGGAGGAAGTTGTATGTGGCACAATGGCTAGGAGTTTCTGATCTGGCTCTGCTGGTGTGCTGGACGCCCTCCTGACCTAGGCTTCCCCATCCACATCCATGGTAAGGGATTGTAGTCTGTGG